GCCATGCTGGCTGGGGAATTCTGGGAGTTGAAGTCCACGCAGCTTAAAGTCGCCATGGTTGAGAAACACTGGTTTAAACTCTCCCCAATCTTTCCCCTCCCAGGGGATTATCCATAGAACGACGAATGATTTTGCTTTGTTTCATTCCTTCTCTAGAACGGCTCACCCCAAAGCTTAGAAATGACCCCCATCCTTGCTAGGACTCCAGAAAGCAATTCAAACTTAGCTCTTCTGTTAAGCCTTTAGGGAGGGGGTGAAGGTTCGTGCTGGTGAACCAAATCCAGGCGTTTTGTTGCATGGAGGGTTTTGATCTTGTTCCTGTCCTCGTGGAAGATAGGCCACGCTGCATCTTAAGTCTCGGCAAATAAATAAATAACAGATTCCCCCCCCCCCCCAAAAAAACTTACCTGCAAGCCGGGCAGCCACCAACAACTACGACGGACGTGGTGGGAGGGGGCTGCTGGATTATTGTATACGTAGTGTTGGGAAAGTTATGCGGCGGTGGACAAGGAGGAGCAGTATATCCTGGACAGGGAAACAAAATGGAGAAATGAACGTGGGACTTCCCATTCACAGGACCAGGGTTACTGAAACTCTTTGGCAAGGCTCCCCATAGCCACCACCTCTGCCTCCTTCATCCCTCACATAAGCTTAGCCCGCGTATACACACCCCATGACTAGACAACCCATGAGCAAATTCCCCTGTTAGAACGAGAGAGATCTCTCCAGAACTCATCCTTTCTGCGGTCAAGTCTTCCCGTCCAGCTCAGTCCAAACAAGATTTGGGACCTCTAAACTCCAGAAGAAAGCCATCGAGCAGAGCTGAGGTCCAAAGCTTGTGGGAACATCACAATTACAGGATGGGTGGGATCTCCTGCCCCCCATGCAAGCAAGTCACCACCAGTGTCCTTTCAGACATTAAGCAAGCCCCCTTTGCTCGTACTTATAAGGCAGTGTTTCTCAACCCTGTGGACCTTAAAGTGTGTGGGGTTTTACACTCACTCTGGCTGGGGGAATTTGGGGAGTGTATAGCACCCCTACTTACAG